TTAAAGGGAAGCTTGGTGACAGTGACAATGAGTTGATCATCTTCCTTTATCCATTGCAAAGCTGGCAAATCAGTCAGCAATGCAGAAATCCTTGACTTCAGGAAAGCTGACTTTCACAAACTCAGGAGGTTGGTTGTCAAGGCCCTGAAAGATAATGATCTCACACGGAAGGGAGTCCAAGATGAGTGGTCACTCCTTAAGGACATGATCCTAGAAGCAGAAGGGAAGTCCATTCCAGCCCACAGAAAAGGTAGTAAAAGGCCTGGGAAACCCTTTTGGCTAAATAGGGAAACTCATGGACCTCCTCAATCTTAAAAGAGAAGCCTATAAGGGTTGGAAGATGGGAAATACCTCTAAAGAGGATTATGCATCACTGGATTATGTATCACATCCCCACACCTGTAGGGAGTGGACCAGAAAAGCCAAGGCCAACACTGAGCTTAAGCTGGCTATGGGAATCAAAGACAATAAAAAGTTCTTCAGATACATAGGAAGTCAAAAGAAAAATAAGGGGAACATTGGACCCCTGCTGAATCAAATGGGGCAGCTGACAACCGACACCCAGGAAAAAAGCTAATTTCAATGATTACTTTGCGTTGGTTTTTCACCAGCCCAAGGGGATCAACCTGCCTGACAGGATACAGGACTATGAAGGTATGGGTGACCATACGCCTACATTTGGTGAAGATCTTGTGAGGGAACACCTTGAAAGGCTGGACATAAGTTAGTGGGCTCTGATGGAATGCATTCAAGAGTGCTAAAAGAGTTGGCTGACATCATAGCTCAACCATTGGCGTAGATATTTGAGAATGCATGGTGCTCAGGAGAGGTTCCTGAAGACTGGAAGAGGGCCAATGTGGTGCCTATCTTCAAGGAAGGAAGGAAGGAAGATCCAGGACACACCAATCAGTTGGACCTCAATCCCTGAGAAGATCTTGGAAAAAATTATCAAAGAATCTATCAGCAACAGGCTGAGAGAAGGCACCATTCTGAGACAGCTGAGACAGCCAACATGGCTTCATTATGGGTAGGTCATGCCTGACCAACCTCATCGCCTTCTATGACTAGGTGATGCATCACCTGGATGGGGAGAGAGGTTGATGTCATTTACTTGGATTTCAAAAAGCCTTTGACTTGGTCTCCCATTATGTCCTCATGGCAAAACTGGGGAACCGTGGCCTCGACAACCTTACAGTTTGATGGCTGGGGAACTGGCTCTATGGTTGGACCCAGAAAATGATAATTGATGGAGCTGAGTCAGCATGGTGTATGATGACCAGTGGTGTCCCTCAGGGTTCAGTACTCTCACCAGTACTCTTTAATATACTCACTACCGATCTGGATTCAAGTGTCAGAAGTGGACTGGCTAAGTTTGCGGATGACACCAAACTATGGAGAAGTGTGGTTACATTGAAGGATAGGCTGGGGATACGGGCTAACCTGAATAGGCTCACAAGCTGGGCAGATATAAAACTGATGACCTTCAACACAGAAATACAAGGTTCTCCACCTCAGGAGAAAAAACCCACATCATACTATAGGCTCAGCAATGCTTCCCTCAGTACTATGTCTGAAAGAGACTTTGGGGTCATGATTGACCACAAGATGAATATGAGCCACCAATGCGATGCTGCAGCTGGCAAAGCAAATAAAACCCTGGCTTGCATTTACCGATACATCTCAAACAAGACGCAAGATATCATTCTCCTGCTTTATTTGGCCTTGGTGAGGCCACAATTGGAGTACTGCATCCAATTCTGGGCTCCACACTTTAAAAAGGATGTGGAGACGCTTGAAAGAGTCTAAAGGAGAGCCACATGCATGATCAGCGGTCAAAAGAGCAGTCCTTGTGAGGAGAGGCTGACAGGCATGGGACTCTTCAGCTTGGAAAAGCATAGTTCAGGGGGACTTGGTGGCAGCCTATAAGTATATAAGGGGTGTGCATCAGGATCTGGGAGAACATCTGTTCACCAGGACACCCCAAGGGAAGACAAAGTCCAACAGTCACAAACTGCTGGAAGACCATTTGAGACTGGACATAAAGAAGAACTTCTTTACTGTCCAAGTCTCCAGAGACTGGAATAGGCTGCCCCCAGAAGTGGTGCATGCACCTACTCTGGACACGTTCAAGATGTGTTTGGATGATTATCTTGCTGGGGTCATCTGACTTCTTAAAACAGAAAAGTTGGATTCCTGGTGGTCACTAAATAATGCAACACATGCATTAGAAGAGGGAGTTAAATACTTGTATAACATAGTGGCCAATCCTGATCATGCAAGGAAAATCTTCACATCTGTGCATAGCCGAAGGAATAAGGGCTTGGCATTTTCAACTGTGGAATGGAAGGAATAACCAGACACCCAAACCACCATGTCTCTGATTAGCTACTACCAGAGAAGAGAAATGGATGTGGCCCTCCACTTCCATTGTACAGTTCAGGTTACTGTGAACTTGTGCTGTGTGTAGTTACATATTTTATAGGGCTGTGAAAAACTTTGGTAGCCAGTTTGATTCAGAGGAGATTCAGTGTGATTTGGCGGCCGAGTCTCCGAATCCAAATCGAATTGGGAGACACATTAATCTCTCTAAATTTGACTTGAATCCTCCAAATTGATTCAGAGAGATTCAGAGATTCAGCCATAGAATGTACAACTGTACATAGACTAGCAGGCACTAGGCAATGCTGGTGGGAGCAGCGGGGGGAGCAGCCTGATGAGCCCTGGCTTGAGCCAGCAGTCGTGGGAGAAGCCACGGCTCATCCAGCTGCTCCTGGGGCTGCCTCCTTCTCCTTCCCCTTCCCCTTCCCCATTGGGGTGAGGCAGGCAGTTCTGGCAGCCTGGGGAGAAGCTGTGGGGAATGATCGGGGAGCTGGGAGGAATGATTGGGAACTGGGGAATTGAACTGGGAGCTGGGAGAATGATTGGGGCTGGGAAAATGAACTGGGGCTTCCCCGCAACTCCCAGTTCATTACCGTCCCACAGCTTCTCCCAGGGCTGCCAGCACTGCCTGCCTTGCCCCGGGGCAGCCAGGGAGGCAGCTGGATGAGCCACGGCTTGAGCTGGCAGCCCCGAGAAAAGCTGCAAGGGCTGGGGGAAATGATTGGGGGCTAGGGGAAGAAACAGGGGCTTCCCTCCAGCTCCTGGTTCGATTCCCCAGTTCGATCCCCCAGCTCTGTGAGTTTTCCCCAGCTCCCCTGATCATTCCCCCTAGCTTCCAATCATTCCCTCTAGCGCCCACGGCTTCTCCTGGGGCTGCCAGCACTGCCTGCCTTTCCCTGGCAGGGGCGCAGCCAGCGAGGGAGGTAGCCAGATGAGCCGCAGCTTCTCCCGGGACTGCTGGCTCAAACCTGGGCTTGTTTGGCTTCTCCTTCAGCGGCTTCCACCAGCACTGCTTGCCTAGATAGTCTATGGCTGAATAAGATTTGACACCGAATATCTTTGGATTTGGATTTGGTTGAATATCTTCTGATTCAGCTGAATCGAATTGGGACAATGATTCGAATCACCAAATTGAATCACTGTTCCTCCGAATTGCTGAATCTAAAGTGAATACTTTTCATTTCGTACAGGCCTAATGCTTTACCCTCACTAGAATACTCTCTCTCTCTCTCCATTGCTTTGCAAAGATCATTTGAACTTCTTATGACATGGATAGTGGTGCAGAACCTCCTCTACCCCTGCACGCTTCCCAAAGTTCTGGCAGCTGTAGCAGTAGAATATATTTTATTACTGACAGTACAATAGTGTTACATGTGATTACATAAGTTCAGGGAAATCTATATTGGATTTGCCAGATGAAATTATAAAATTAATTTTACTTTACTTAAACATGTCTAATAAGTTAATTCATTAAATGTATGTTTTTGTATTTTGCAAGATGTTTTAACTTGTTCACATCCTAGTGCAGGGGTTGTCAACTGGGGGTATATGTACCTCTAGGGGTACTTGGAAAGGTGATAGGGGGTACATGTGGATGGGGGGGACAGAGCAGGGTGGGGGGGTGAAGGCAGTGGTGCCCCTCTGCAGACTGATGTGGGGTGCAGGGCTCGCAACCACCACCACCCACCACCCTGTGCTGCCACCCATGACCCCATGCTGCTGCCTCCCAGGAGCAGGGCTGGGGGAGAGGAGGGTGAGGGCAGTGGCACCCCTTTGCGGTCCACACAGGCACTGCGCGCTCAATGGCTCTGTGGGCTGCTGATGTGCGGTGCATGATTGGCCAGGCCCGAGGTCCATCAGCAACCTGCAGGAGCTGCACACACTACTGGCCATGGGAAAGTGCTGTGGAGGGTGGCATGGGGTGATGGGTGGTGGCAGTGGTGGCCATGTACAAGCCTCCCCTCTGTACGAGCACCCCTGTCTCCCCCTGTGTCCAGCTGCCACCACCAGAAGGGGTACACTTGTTAAAAAAGGTTGAAAACCCCTGTCCTAGTGGATGGTGTCAGACTTGCCATTCAGTTTCTTGGTTCCTACATAAGTTCAAACAAGTTTATGGTCTTTTGGATAGAACCTTTGGGCCAGTGGTTCTCCACCTTTTTTAGACCCAAGGCACCCCTTCATAACTTCTCTGAATTGAACAGCAACCTATTTCAAAACTGAACGTATTTATTACAGTGCTAACCTGCTTGAAGAGCCAGGAAGGAGGAGGAACAGCTGGCAGGGAAGAACCTGCATTGTAGTAAGGGAGGTGGGGGAGAACAAGTTACTAGCACCCTGGCTGAGAATCACTGCTCTAGGCTGAGACTAAGTATACTTAAATTTCAGTGCAGCTTAAGTGGTTAAAATGGAGCTACCACCTTATTACCATGAACTTCACTGTATATTGTAAGCAGTGACTGGTAGCACTCAAATTCAAACACGTGTGCATAGCTATTAGATGAATTAGTGCAGCTTTTGGAAACAATGTATCATTCTTTATAGGACAATTTAACAGTTGGCCTAAATTACCTGTTTGGAGTTTTTAATATTTGTTTTACTATTATATTTTATTTATTTTGCAGGCCTGGTGGGTAGGAAAAGACTTTTCTACAGATGTCTGGCAAATCTGTACCAACATTACTAACTGTACAGTTATTAATGAAAACATGGCCGGTGAGTATTAATATTCTTAAGCTTCTAGAAGCTGCTTTGAGGAAGTATCCTATGCAAAATATTGCAGTGTGATAGAGGTCATAATGTACATGCTCAATGTACTGTATAAATACTAACTGCTCTAATCTTTTAAGACCTATACTATTCATCTTACTCCTTTTGAAAAAAACAATTCCTGCCTTAGTTTTTTCTGTCAGTGGGTATATTATATTTTCATTACAGAAGGAGTTATGGGAAGTAGCATTTATTAAATACTTTACAGATGGCACTTGAACAGTCTAAAATATACTTATTTTCTGGCATTAAAAACCATAGTAAACTAGTGAGAGTTAAATTATCCTGGGAGAAAAGATTATGATTTCCTGTGATTGTAGAAGGTGAACCTGTTGGCCACTAAATGCAAAAGTTAAATTCTGGCTTTCAAACTAAAGTGAAAAGAACTTCTCCATGAATCAGCAATTCTACCCATCCAGTGCTGGTCCCAAACCTGGTTAAAAGGAGTTAGTTTGGTTAAAACATTAGGGTTTTTTTTCTTCTTTCTTCTTCAGCCCTCATTTGTCTTGTCTAAATGGGGTTGCTATTGTGGATCCTGGAAATCGCTAGGTTTGTTCCTTGGATCCGCATCATGATGATTTGGCAGAGGTTTTTACAGCCAGATGCCCTTCCTGAATATGAGAAGGCTTTAAAACTGTATTAAAATACAGGCAGAGAGCAGAACACTGGGTGATGTGTGCACACTTATCTCTGTTGAAGTAGCCCATTTGCCTAGTACTTTCTAACAGAGCTGAGATCACTTTACCCACAATTCCCTTTTTCAGAAGAATCAGTGAGAGAAAATTGAGTCCATAGGTCCTGAATTTTTTGACCTTTGGTGTCTTCTGGCAGCGCTTCTGGAGTCCATGCTGTAACCAAACCTGAATACTGTACATACGTACTTATGTGAATACTGGTTTGTTCTTTCACTATGTTTACATAATAGATCAGGAGTATTTTGAAGAAAAAGGGAGGCCTGGAACTGGGAGAGTTCAAATTATCTGTCTGGGGAAGCTCCATTGAAAAGTTATTTTGTAGTACTGTCAAACTGTTAAAGTCTTTTATGGTGGAGGTGGCACTGGATATTCAGCAGGGAAGAACAGATGTGACAAATAAGGAAGGCAGGTGTCTGGCAAAACAAATCCTTAAACAAGACAAGAAAGATGTAGAAAGATGAAAGCAAGCTCTAATTAAGCATATGGATTACTGACTATAACTACTAGTGGCTGTTAGCGGGAGCTGCTGCGGGGAAACTGTTTGCTATAAAATGTTTCTGTTTTGACAGAATATCAATCAATACAAGCTGTTCAGGCTGCTATGATCCTGTCTACCATTTTCTGTTGTGTTGCATTTCTGGTTTTCATTCTTCAACTCTTCCGCCTAAAGCAAGGAGAGAGATTTGTGTTAACTTCTATTATCCAGCTGCTGTCATGTGAGTATTTGTGACGCATCACTTCTGTCATGCTTACACAGGGGAAAAAAGTTCACAAGGGAACAATGGCCCCACACAACGTACAGACAGAAAAAAGTAGTTGGATGAAATTATCTGTTTTTTAATTTACTGTTTTATTAACTTTAAATGTTTAAAGGAAAACCCCAGATAATAAACATTTTGAAAGTACCAATTTAAGAACAGACTTTAACAGCTTTCTGAACTTAATAGGCAGATGCATCTTGAACTTTTACCACATAAAAGCTAAAAACTGTCTGGATGCCCAAAGGTTACTTTCAATCAACACTGGTACCCTGATAGGATTTTAGAAGCTGCTTGACTTTATTTAAGCCTCCTTTAAACTGAACTGAGTTCTGTGAAATACTTTCAATATAATTGGAGTATGAAAAGTAATTTTCTAAGAAAAGCAGATGCTGTGAAGAGAAACAGAATGTACACTCCAACTGCTTGTCACTGCTATATATAATTGTTTTTTAAGATGCTGAGTTTTAATACTTTCTGTCTCTTTCAGGCCTCTGTGTAATGATTGCAGCTTCCATTTATACAGATAGGCATGAAGAACTGCATGAGGCTGTTGAATATCTTCAGTTAAATGTTGCTAGTGGCCAATATGGGTATTCCTTCATCTTAGCCTGGATTGCATTTGCTTTTACTCTGATCAGTGGTGTGATGTACCTAATATTAAGAAAACGTAAATAAATGTCAGCAGCTAGTTATTTCTGTCACTGCAGTACAGAACCAAAAAAATTCCAGTAACCATTTTGTATATAATCGTTTATGTGGTTTTGTAGTAAAAGTATTGTTCCTCTAAAATTGTACTGTGTTCTTGGTATGAAAAAGACCAGCAAACAAAAAGTAAACAAACAAAAAGTTTACTGGAAAACTTGACCGTCTAGGATAAAGGGTCTGGCTTTGGCCAGATTAGATTTCTTTGTATAGTTCACCACTTTAAATTGCTGTCACTTTAACTAGACATTAACAAATGTGTTTGGATTTGTCCTCGCATAGATTGGTTTACATCATGCTTAGTGTCAGAGACACAGCACATGCTATTAAGTCATTAGCAATCTATCCCTTTAGGAATAAGTGTGGAGAAATATGAGACCCAGTTCACAAAGCCTAAAACCATTTTGGAAGTTCCAAGATAGTGGGGGCCTACCATTTTGGCAGGTGCGCCACAAATTAGCTTTGCATCCTTTGAGTGCCACTCTGATCTCCTTCCTCTGATCTTCTTCTCTGCTTTCTGCTTCTTACTGTATGCTCCCTACCCAAATCTCCTGTTTTCTGCTTCCTGCCCTGGGCTTCCTACCTGATTTGCTCTAGCTTCTACTTCCTGCCCCACCTGTTGCTATGCTGCCTGTCCCTTCTCTGATCTGCCACATGCCACATGTACAGGCTACCCATGCCACAGGTTGACTCCCCCTGTTTAAAACATGCAGAATATTTCAATTATAATAGGACTTTCATACCATTTCAAATGAATAATAAAAAGGCAAATGTAAAACTTTTCAAAAATTAATTTTAAAAAAATGACATTTACTTTTTGTACTCTAAAACTTGGATTGTCCTTCTTACATTCAAGCATTCAGAGTATTAAGTAGTGCAAGTTACCAGTAAATTTTACTGCACAGTTTGGGTCTGGGATCTCAAACTAGTAGAAATATAGACAAATTTTGCAAATGCAAAAAACCTGCTTTTAAATCTCATTCGTGTCTAGTTTTATCTAACAAGTAACTCTTGCCTTACCTTAACATTTACTTCTCAATATTTAAGGACTTACCATTTTTTAAAAATGAATTTGTGGCTAACCAATAGCAAATTTAGATTTTGTTGGACAAATCTGCTTGAAGTATTCTCCACCCTTAAAATCTGATATAAAATGAAAAAGTCATTTGCCTTCAAGAACTAGTTTTTTGCTATTACTCTTTGCAAATGATTTATATTTGGTATTTTACAGTCCTTTGTGAGTGTTTACATGAACTTAAAAACTCCTACTCAACAAATGAGGGTAGCATTTGCCTAAGCCATTTAGTTCTGTTTAGCTACTGACTTTGTTGACAGAATTCCTCAAATAATTACTTAGGGATTTTCTGATATTTAAATAATTTGTGGTATCAAATTTTATACTATGATAATAGGCTTAAATGCTAAAAATGGATTTGGCTAAGAGTGATTTAGAGGATGATAGATCAGTTTGTATAGAGTGTTGTGGCTTTTAGAGGTCTGTCCTGGCTTCCATGTTTAAATGTAGTGCTTTTATGGCTTAACAAATGTAACCTTTTGTTTAAGTCCACTACATTCATTACTACTGAACTGGTATTAGAGACAGTAGAAAAGGAAGTCAAGAAGGTTTTCAGTAGCCTTGTAACTTGTGGTGCTTAGGCAAGCCAGATCAGCTAATGCAAAGTTGCGAAGTTCTACAAAAGTCAGTGCAGCTATATCAGTATAAATCTGCTGAGAATCTGGCTCAGTCATCTTCAGTAAGTAAAATCTTCATTATTTACAAGGTGGAGATGTGCATGTATCAGTAAAGGAACCACCAAAAACATGGGACTGCTGTAGTATTGTTATAGTATTTACTTTTGGGGGCCAGGAAAAAAACCTACTTGCTTGGTAGATAGGAAGTATTTAGATGGAAAAAGCAGTCAACTTGGAATGCATCCCTGCCATTGTAACATGACTTTACTGGTTGTTTTATCAAAATTTTTCCCCTTGGAAATATGTTCTAAATTTCTGAAGTTACCACTTTTGGTTTTATAATGTAACATTTTTTAAATTTCAAAGACATATATTTCAGTTCCAAAATCTTAATTTTAACAATGGAATAATAGAGTACAAAAGAACAGATTTTGTTTTGAAAGAGTGACATGCTATAAGGCAAGGTTTAAAGTAGATTTTATACCAGTCATTTGCTATTCTGGCTTGCATATTACATGAAGCACAATGAAATGAGCTAACAGAATGATAAACCAAATCATCGGTCAAAAGTATTTAAGCATTTTTAGATAAAAGTCCAATATTTTTCTAAAGTTTTCAAGACAAAAAAATTGCCATTGACTGACTATTTGCAGGACAGACATACTACTAGACTTAACGATCATAAAGTACTTCACCTGGGTCATTTTATAGCTTGAATATTTAATATACATTATGCATATGTGTCCTCACACATGTATACACAACCCTATGTCCAGAAGGAAATCCTTTCCCTCTTAATTAAAGCAGTAGAGTATATTATACATATATATATATGCATATGCAGACACACACAAACATCTTACATGTGTCATTCTAAATACAAAGAGCAGTGTATACATGATGCCATATTATAGAGTAAGTGTGAACCTTTTGTATACTCAGAAGGAAATGCCAAGAAAAGTTTGATCTAGGAAAACAGAACAACCATGATTTTAAAATATTCTTTCTACCTAATGTGCCTTTAAAATATTTTGTTTTCTATGCTTTATATATTCTGAAACTGTACATGAAAATAAAGTTAAAACAAAATGATTGTACTGTAATAGCAGACTTGATGCATTTGATAGTCCCACACTGTCCTAAAGGTCTGGATTCATTTATACAACACTGAGACAAATACTTAAGCAATTCTACATGAACAAGTGTAATTAATCACTCTCAAGTTCCTCTGAAAGATCTTCATTAGGATAGGATGAATGTTGGTTGGTAATTTGACATGTGCAGTATCAGAAAGTTTTAGTTTACTGAATACCTAAGCCAGTGATTCTCAACCAGAATGCCACAACATGTATGGAGATAAACAGGTAAGCTAAGCAATAAGCCAGGCTTAGGCTTGTCCCTGACTGGAGAATCACCCATTCTTACTGCCCAGCCCCTGTGCAAGGAGATAGGCACTGTAATATGCAAATTAGTTTTTGTAATTGAGTGCCACTCAATTCATAAAAGTTTGGGAGGATTGCCTTGAGTCCAGAATTGTTGAGTGTCACTGGCTGATGTACAGGTCACACAGCAGTTGCTATTGAATGGTTTAAGCTGCACAAGAGTTAAGTAGAATGTTATCTGTCAGGTTTTTCATGCTTTTGAGGGGTACTGTGTAGTTAGAAAGCCATTTTTGGATTCCTAAAATTACAGGCCTATCTGAGCATGAATAAGTGTTTTCCCTAAAAAAATGGAGGGATGATCACCTGCAGCTCCCCCATTTTTGACTTATGATAGTTAACATTGAGTATCTATCCCATGCTTTGATCACTCTTGATAGTCTATTTAAAACCCAAGCATATTTTCTACAAGTGCTCATAATGTTTCAATTTTGGTTGCTTGGGTATTCTCTGAATGATTTCAATGTCAGCACAGCCAAAACAAATGGGCCTTCTCATTACACATCCCAAAGACCAAAGTTTGGGCCATACAAGACCAAGATAGTAACATTTCCAAAAGAAGGGATTCTACCAGAAAACCATCTACAGATAATTCCTTTTGACATGAAATAGGCTCTGGTTCAAGTCTCTCAAGAGTAGCAGTAGCCTGTAAAAAAGAAGCAGCCTCTCATATGTAAACCCTAAACCATATTGGGATGAATAGATTAGTCATTATCATAAAATTAGGTTGGAAACAAATTGGCAACCAGTGGAGATCAAAGCATTGGATGACCTTCCAGCCCTACTTTCCTACAATCCTATTAATATGCATATAGGACTAGCGCTAATTTTTGATCAAGCTTCATATACAGGACAAATCTGGTGACAAATGCATGGAGAAATAACAGGGTGCATAATATGTTTATTATACATATATAATATTGTCCAGGTTTCACATCCCTACAACAGAGTAGGAATGACAATAGTATGCTAGAAGAGAAGTTTGGTTTGGGTCCTGGTATCTCCATCATTGAGGACATGGTTTTAGAGATGTCCAAAGCACTGGCAGTTTTTTTCCAGTATTGAATATCATAGTCTTATGTTTACTTTTTGAGAAAGGTGGCTACCCTGGTCAGGAAGATGCTCAACATTCTTCAAAGATTGACCTCTAATATGTGGAGCAGCAGCTGGTTAGTTTGTGTTGGCAAAGGATCTTGACTTTCTGAAGTTCACAGTGAGTCCAAGTATTTCATCTGCTTCACAGAAGTAGTCAAGAGTGACCTGGAGCTCTTCAGTTGAGTGGGCACACATGATAATCATCAGCATATTGAAGACCAGTAATGGATGTGTTGGTTATCTTGGATTTTGAAAATAACTTCTTGACATTGAAGACATTTCCATTTATTTCCATTTATGATACCAGATGGAAGTCCATCAGCAACAAGATGCAGAGTACCTGCAATATACTTTATTTACTTGAATAGAAGATGTGGTCTGTCCCCCAGACCAGTCAGCATGGGAAAAAAGCCCCTTGTCTTATATTCACATAAGAAGTCAGGGGGAGGGAAGGGACAGGGGGTGCAGCAGGTGGCTGCTGTGCTTCTGACTGTAGCCCCATTCCTTCCCTACTGTCAGGCACAGCTTGCTTCCAGCTCAGGCTGAGGTATCTCCTGGGCATAGAGCACATTAAAACTTCTTCCCCAGTCTAGACAATCAGCAGCACTGAAACTGATGAATTGCCTTCCAGGCTAGTCAGCAGTGCTGGCGTTGCTGCATGGCCAGGCAAAGGCTGACCTTCCACATGCTATGTTCTGGGATGGAGCTGTCTAAGCAGTGTCTGACAGTGTCGGGGGGGGGGGGGGGGGGGAGGGGGGAGAAGAGGCAGAGGCTAGGGAACAGTGGTGGGGGAAGAGGCAGAAGCTGTGGGAAGCGGGTGGGAGGTGCAGGGCAGGAAGGCTTCAAGGGAAAGAAGTAGGTGGGGCAAAGGGTGAACAGGCTACCTGCCCCCAGCCACTACTTTCCCTGCTGTAGCAGTGAGAAGGCACAGGCAGGGATTCAAGACAACCCTCCAATATCTAGATTCTATACCTGGAAAATTATAACAAATTTATAAGTTTTCCATATATAGAAGCTAATTATTGTTCAGTGTCATCTTACATTAGAGTAAATGTGGTAGATGGAAAAGAGTGTTGCTGCAATCTTATATCCTGGATTGACTCAATTTCTAATAGTGAAGGGGTCCATTTCCAAGCCATTGCTTAGAACAGTGTCTGTTATGTTATTGTGAAGAAGTCTGATAATGGTAACAAATTTTAGTGGACATCCAAGTCTCATCAGGATTTTCCATAGGGTCTCTGTTGATTGAATCAAAGGCTTTAGCCAGGTCAATGAAGACCATGTAAAGATCTCATGTCACTTGCAACACTTCTCCTGCAGTTGTCTAGCAATGAAGATCATATCCATTGTACCTCTGAGCAGTCTGAAACCACTTTGGGTCTCTGGTAGACTCTTCTCAGCCAGGAAAGTGAGTTTATTGAGAATGTGAGCAAGGATCTTCCTAGCTATGGACAGGAGTGCAATACCATGATAATTGCTACTATCTGATCAATCTCCTTTCTTGGATATGGTAACAATTCCGGCATCTCTCAAGTCACTGGGAATCGACTCTTGTTTCTACATTTTCATAATAACAACACATAATTGGTGAGAGAGCTTTTTTTATCCTTATTTATAAATCTCAGCTGGTATTCCATCACAGCCACTTGTTTTGTTGTTCTGCTTAATGTTTTTAATAGCCTCTTGATAAGTTGGAGGATCTGCATGGTAGTCTTTAATGGGGTGCTGTGGATTGGCTTTGATAGTATGGTCTTAATCAGGAGCTTCTGAAAGTGCTCCTTTCACTGTACACTGATGGTGGAGTTGTTACACACCTATGGTGCTAAAGGATCGTTAAAGCATAATCAACCCAGCATGAACACAGAATATGCCTCACACCATTCAACTTAACTAAAATCTAACTTTATTAACACGTTAAATGTATTAATAGTTTCTAGAGTGAGAAAGAGAGAAACACCTAGTCCAATGGTCTCTCCCAATCTCAGTTGTTATTTCACTTCACAGAAAAGGTGGCCAATCAGTTCCTGAAAGTAGAGGGTGATCGTCTGTGGGTAATGGCTGTTTTTCATTCCAGATGTTGTTGGATGACACACACCCAACTTTCTTGTTGCCCCCTTTTTTTGCTTTTTCTTTAACCTTACTCCTCTGATGACTCTTCATTTTTGAGTACTGTTGATTGGTTTCCCTGTGGTCATCATATTGTTCATGTTCTTACCTTGTCGGCATATTCCTTTGTTCTAACAAGCCCATCACATGCACAGATCTTAATTTGTTTTTTTACCACTTTCTTAAGTTGGGTATGCCCTGGGCTCTTAATTTGCTCTGCCCAACAACTCTGGAAATTCCAAGGGCACTGTCCAGTCAGTCCCCTCTTATCACCCATCATTAAGATATCCAATCATATCTCTGATCCCTCTGATTTAGTTGGTTAGTGTCAAGTTCAGTTAATTTGAGCTAGTAACAAGGTTTACACTATACATGCCTATGTTGATAATGCTGGAACATAAGCTTCCTGTAAAAGCGAGCTCAAGGCTATTAGCTGATAGTGCAGATACAAAATGCAAAAGAAAAGTTCAAATGAGGCTATACAAATCTTAAGCAATGGTTAAATAAGGCTGAATATAAAAGAAAAGTTCAAATAATACTATAATTCACCACTTAAGATGGTGCAACTAAAGCTAAATGTGACAAGTTACCCTAACAGAGCTGTCTTTAAAGAGTGTTGTTCCATCACTTTGTATGGGAGCAACAGATACAGAATAGTAATACTTCCCCCTTAATATAGTCTGCATGAATTAATGTGATGGATTGTATGAATGGCAAGTGATACATGCAATAATAAAACCAAGATTTCTTTTTCCAATTAGCCTATAGGAGTTAGGTAGTAAACTCCTACTGAAATGCATTGGGACTCAAGCACCTAACATGACAAACTCCTTGGGTGGAGGGGAGGGGGGACTTTTGGGGGGGAGAATCTCAGCATAATCTATTTTGTCCATTGCCAGGGAATTTATGAATTCAAACAGAATTTAGTAACAAATTTGTCACGGGTGAAGAAGAGCTAATAAAATTAGATTTCAAAAGTTGTAATTTTAAAAGTACTAGTCAAAGAAGTTTAAGTACAGTTTAATATATAGCAGTATTTTCAACAGCAAGGAACAGCTTACTGGGAACTGATGGCTAGAAAATGATATGTAGAGGTTTGCTTTTGGGAACTGGCATGCAGGTAAAGTATATATGTATTAGAACAATGGTCCAGAGCAACAGCAAAGGTTAACTGATTTCTAAAAGCCCTGTTTGTGACAAAGTTTCTTCAAGGCCTACTGTGTCTGACACAGGCAAGCAGCAAG